GTATTACAGGCATTCTTTACCAATTGATTAAAGTAGATTCTATTTATATATTATATTATTAAATTACATAGTTGGGTAAAGTTTAGTTGTATTATCTGAACCTTTTATAGTTTAGGCGTTGCAATTACGTTGCCTGGTCGGCAACTCTACCAAATTAGAACAACAACCAAAATGCATGAAAAATCTGTCGTAATCTGTAAACAATGAAAGTACATTTTGTATGAATAGAGAGCATAGAATCCGTCGTCTTGTGTCTTGCGCAACTATATTGTATTGCAAAAATAAGTAGGAACGACCTTTCTTCAGGAAGCGCATAGGACGGACTACTGGTCACACACACACACACACACACACACACACACACACACACAAATTAGATTTGAAGCGCACACAAAACTGTGTAAGATGTCCAGCCGCCTGCCCCTTGTCTAAGGACTCCCTGGGCTGCAATAATAAACATCTGCAAACGGCCCGGCAACACCCTTCGATCTGGTAGCTTGCAGGCACATCAAATGCTGGGTGAAAGCGACATTTACAGTTGGCTCAAAAGAGAAAAATACTCCAAATATATGTACTAGCCGGAAAGTAATTCTTTAAACAGCCAGTACTAAAAATGTAATAAGCTAATGCCACAAATATTATAAGCAAATAGTAATTTAGCTGAAATTATCGTTGAATAATGTGGTAACACTGATAATACTTAAATTGTTTATTGTCGACGAAATCCTATTGCCAGTAAATAATAAATGTACGAATTTGCATAGGATTCAATGTGACACTGAATTTAGAGGAGTCGCTTGCATTATTGGCCAACAACGGCTCAAATGAGGACGTAATATACTCGACAGTCTCCGCCTGAGTGCCTTCGGGATGGAACTTAAATCTCTTCAAATCGCTCAGCGCCATGCTGCCGTCCAAGGTTGTTTCACGTATCTCCTGGCCACCCAACGCATCGAAAATGTGGCGAATGTTGAAGCTAACCGTGTGACCCTCATTTTGATCCATATAGTTCTCAACGCGCAGTAGGATTTCATTGCTGGAATAGGGTTCCAGTGTTAGCAGATTAACCGACTGAGGGAAGTCGCTGAAATCGGGAACGCTCAGGGGTTTCACAACACTGGCCGTGTTGGAGTTACTGAAGAACTTCCAGAAGGGCAAATGAATTTCCTGTTGAGCCAAGCGTTCGGCAACAGTGGGCTTTTCGTCTGCTGCGTTTAGGATAAGGAAAACTTTACCGCGCGCAATCAGACCCGTGCCGTACTGTGTCTCATTCAGGGCTTCGCCCACGCCAAAAGCATCGTCCCTTAGCAGGCGGCGATGAAGCATAAGCTCGACCTGACCATCCGCCAGACTGGAGCCGCCCTGGGCGCGGTCGTTGAGCAAACCAATACGTTTCTGCGCATCCTCAATGGAAATGCGAGCAGTCACGGGATAATAATTGCCGCTCACAGACTCTGACATATCTGGCGTAAAGTATTCGCGCTTGTTTCTCTCACGTTTGATCATCTCACGTCCATTGGAGTCAGTGTAGAAGACACCATTTGTGGAGAGGCCACTTGTGAAGCGGGTAACAATCTCTCGGCCATTGTCATCATCGATTGGAATTGGACCAACTAGCCATTCGAACTCTACACGATTTACGCCCTCGTAGATGCGAATCACTTGTGAGATCCATTCGTTCACGTTCTGATGCACCTCCTTCACCTGGACACCATCGTAAACCGTATAGTCAACCGTGTCCTCCAGCACAGTAATGTCGCCATCCGGACGGAAAATGTAAGCTCCAGATGAACGCTTCTCGGAGGCGCTGTTGTCGCCCACCGCACCCTTGTATATGGCAAAGTTCTGCTCTATATTTTCCGAAACTCCGTTCATTTCGACTGATTTGAGGTGACCGCTGCTCTTGCCGAAGACAAGCTTGATATGCTGCAATAGAAATGGAATATCAGTATCAGCAGATGAGTCCATTATATTTTCCTGATCAGGAACATATATTCTAGATGGTTTCGTTCTGGTGCCCTGTTCCATGTAAGTTGAAGCTCTTTCTGTTACTTACCGAGTTCTGAACAGTAAACTCATCTGTTTCCTCATCATCAGCCGTAGGTTGCGTCTTGGACAGTTTTTGCTTTATTGAATGCACCTTTTCGAAACGCTTGAGAGTTGGCCTCTTTGCGTTTTTGGGAGCCGGCAGCACGCGTATGTAGAAGTTGGCAATTTTGTTCACAGTTGCCTTGAAGACCAGCTCATGCTGCGTCTCGTTGGAGCGGTGCTGTATAGACAGGACTTGCCATGGCACCGGTACCAGCTCCGAGGGTACCTCGTGACCTATAAGAGGCGCATGTATGTAGTTAATCAATTGAATAGCTATACCAAGTCTTTAATATACCCTTCTCATCTGTGACCAGGTAGTTCTCATCTTTAACAGGCACACGAACGAATTGCGAAGAGGGATGAGCGAGTGGGTTAAAGAGAGTCACGACCACATTGTTGGCGCTCTCTCGGGTAAAAGCACAGACACTTATGTTCAGTTCCAAGCAGCTGTCGAACTCGCCTGTGGTCAGGTTGGTGAGCAGCCTGAGCGCATCCCGACTGTTATCCTGAGCATCGATCATGGCATCCGTTAGCAGGCGATCGTAGTCGCGGGCCACTGCCTGTTTCTCTGTGCCCGTAATGGCATCGTGATGCTGCATTATGCCCATAACTTGACGCAGCGAGTCCAAATCTTCAGTTTGCTGTGCGCTCGTCAGTTTGGCGAATGCGCTCAGCTGCTTAACCGTCTGGAGCAAATGGTTGCCATCGCGCTCGAAACGCTTCTGGGTGGGACGCGAGGTGAAGTAGCCGGTCCAATAGGAGTGCGAGTCACTGGAGTATGGGAAGAAGTCTTGGGTCTTTTCTGGCCATGTCAGCTGCATTTGGTGCAGCTCGTTGAGATAGCACGAGGGCGTTGAATAAAACACATTCACCTTGGAACCCTCCACTTGACGCGCATTCACATATCTGAAATCAATACGATTTACAATGCTTCCAGAATACTTGATAAGGTATTTCCTACTTAATCAGCTTGTCCATGTTCTTGTAATTGATTTCGGCATCCTCGTACTGAAAGTCATCGCCCATGGGCACCATAATATGTGTAGCACGGTATGAGTTGGACATTGTCTTCACATAGCTAATGAAGTCATCCACTCTGGACTTGACATTATTATCATAGCTCTTGCTATCGATAATGGGCTCATCGCTGCAGAGTATGTCAAAGCAGAAGCCGGGCGGTGCGGAGTAGTGACGGTAGAGCAGACCGGTAAAGAGGTCTGAATCACTTAGGGACTCGCTGGATTGCCAAATCATTTCCAGGGCCACTTCATTAATGCGTTTGCTCTTCTCAACATGGTCCATGCGAGCAAAGAACTCACCGCTGTAGCCCATCTGCGCAAAAATTGATGCCATTTCACGCGAGTGACCAAAGGGATCAATCTGCCAGCCAATGCGCGGACGTCCACAGGAGCCAAATGTGTCATTTAGTACCCTGATAATTACAATTAAAATTAGCCTTGTTATCTAATCTGAAACATCTCTCCCCAGCCTTACTTTAAGCCCAGTGCAAACTGATCAATAACGCTTTGATAATGGACGGCGGCCTCATCGTTCATGCTCCAGGCACCACCGATAAACTCCAAGCGGCCCTCGTTCACCAATTTCTTGACCAGACCCTGCACTTGTTCCGTCTGTTCCTGGTACCACTTGAAGAAGAACGCTGTCTCCACCTGTATGAAACGGCGTTTCGAATCCTTCAGGAGCTCCGCAACCACCGAATCCAATATGTATTGTACACCAGCGTGCTGTATATTGTTTTTAGCTCCATAATAATACTGATCCACAGTTTTCAGCCAGCCGACATCGTCGTGCGAATGTGGCACCAAATGCACATTGATCATGTTTGGCTTCGTTTCAGGACATGACTGCAATTTCAGATAATAAGGTAAAGTATGCGAGATTAGGATGCGATTGTTATTAATTCTAATTTATTTACCTCATAGCCACAAATAGCCTGGGATTGATTTGTGCTGATCAATAGCACAGCTGCTAAAAGAACTATGCCACTCAAGCGCCGCATTGTTCCCAATTGTTTCCGGCTATTCCACAAACGTCTCCAATTTAGAACTGGAGGCCAGAGCGAAGCGGCAACAGCTTTTATATGCGCCCAACCATGCGATTAGACCCCAACCAACGCTGGCGCTGCCATCCAAAAAGATAACGAAAACGCGCCCGGATTAACTACATACTCGTATGGGTGGGGTACATAAGTATGCATAACATTTTCCAAGTAGATGATAAGCCTTCAATCGTAGCACTTAACCAGCTTGGATACAATTCGATTTTGTCAAAAACATCAATTCATAAAAGCTGCGCGACAATCAATATAGAAAGTTGTATACAAGGTGGAAAGTGCATTCTTGACCAAAAAAAAAAAAAAACAATTATTAATCAAATATCCTACATTAAGTTTAGTATTCGGAGTCTCAAGTAGTGTTAGTTTAAGCATAGTCTATATATGGCTAATATGAGGATAGACAGCCATAAACTAGAACGTGATTCGAACCAGAATCCTCCTGAATAACTGGAGGATTGCTGCTCTTCATTATAATTGATTAGGAAGCGACTTAATCTCACCCAAACTTGCCAGAGAGTATGCAAGGTTCGGCATGGCATTTAAAACATAATTCGAATTATTTATTAAAGGTGCTCGATGAGTACTCTATATATACATATAGCCATGCCTGAATGTCCGTCGCACTTGTTTGTTCGCTGCGATAATATTAACGTTATCCCAAGTGGCTATAATAATTATTGAAATACTCGTAAATTCAAAGTCATAATATTGGTAATCGTGAGATTATTGGCTTCATTTAAATGGATTTTAATTGACGTGCCTTACTGTTTTACTATTTTTTATGAATTTGTACTAAGTTGCCGCATTACTCGATAAGAAACTAAACAAAATATTCATTCTTGATAGATTAACGCTTTATATGCCGGAATTTAGACTCTACTTTGGCTCACAAATTAATTGGATTATATGCATATGAGAATAGTGAAAGGTAAAAGGCCTTGAGGCAGCCCGACAAATATATTTTGTTTATTATTTTCATTCTTTTGATTATCATATTAGAAATAAATTCAACCGGGAACTTTCCCATTTGGATGCAAGCGAAGGAGGACGAACCCAAAATCAAAACAAATATATTCTGTTCTAATCTTTACCTAAAATCGGCAATGGAACTTAACGCTTGGATGATAATGCAGCAGTAGATAATAACTAAAATAAACAAATTATTTTTACAATAACTAAAGCTCCGATTAAATTTACACGAATACAATTAGCAGATTAGGGCCTTACTCGTTGATCAGTTGATGTGATGTTGATTCGGCGCCCGAAGTTCACCTTGCAGTAGCCCACAGCTCGCCGGAATGCGGACGTTTTGGCCTTTGTCGTTCAAAAAACTTAAAAATGTAATTATTTTCAATGTAAGTTTTCCTTTTATAAAATTCTATAGACTAGCAACGATATGCTAAGTTGTTAACAATTATATTTACTCACCGTTCAGATGTATGGCCAATCAATTTGTGCTGCAATTCGGATTGGTCATGGAATCGATAACGCATGCTGGGTCGTCAGTCGGCAGTCCAAATAAACCGGAATGAGTCGAGTATGTCTCAAAACTCCACAAGGACTTTCAGGTGAGTCCGGAACAATAACAAAACAAAAAATGGTACACTTATCATATTTTATTAAAAAAAAATAGAAGACCAAGGCTATGATGAAGAGACATGTGTCTTTAAAATACGTTATTGCAATTATATATTGATTGCTACGATAATAATACTGGCATCTTACCGACTGTGCCTAATCGTATGGGATCCACAACGAAATTCCAAACAGTTGCCGCTGCGCAATGCATCGCATCTGACCCAAGCACCTGGCCTGGTGCCAGCTGAGAATCGAGGCAAGATTGCTGCCTTTCGTTTCACACCACATCTGCTGGACATCATGGCATCTTCACGTCCTGCGTATCTAAGAAGCCAGGGTCGCACTGGTGTAAGCATTGTGCTGGGCGTGCCCACAGTGCAGCGCAGGAAACAATCGTATCTGCGAAGTACTTTGTACAATCTCATAGAGAACATGAATGCGGAAGAGCAGAACGAGACGCTCATCATTGTCTACATTGGAGAGATGGATGGGTCAGTTATAGAGCGGATTGTTCATCAAATCGAGTTGAGCTTCAGAGGACATATCGCGAGCGGACTTATTGACATTATTGCGCCAGCGCCCGACTACTATACCGACTTTGAGGAACATGTGAGCTGGCACAGCAAGCAGAATCTGGATATTGCATATCTAATGGCTTATGCCCACTCCAAAGGCATCTACTATGTGCAGCTGGAGGACGATGTATTGACCCAGCGAGATTTTCTAACCACCATGCGAAAATTTGCGCTCATTAAACTGGCTTTAGCTAATCCGCTTGAACCTTGCTGGTTTGTCTTGGACTTTTCTCCGTCCAGCTTGGTTGGCAAGCTGTTTAAAGGCGCCGAGCTGCCCTATCTGATAACCTTTATACAATTATTCAACAAGGATATCTCCATGCTCAAGATGCTCTTGCACTTTATACAGCACACACTTTGCCACAACGATTCGGTGCATTGTCAACGGGACATGACAAAATATTGGCCACACTTCGATGTGCCCTTATTCCAGCACATTGGCAGCCTCACGTTCAAGGAAAAGTTACGAATGTTAGAGCACAAACAAGCTGACAACAGAAATTAAGAAAGCCGACAATTCAGAGGCCATCAATTCTAAACGAGATTAAGCTTTGAGAGCTGCCCAAATTTGTGACAAAAGGAATCCAGCCGATCTTTACTTTATTGCCAACTAAAGGCATCAAGTGGATATATGTTGAATCTGGAACGAAGCATATCATTTTCAGGATATTGTTACGATAAGCCCGGAATTTTCGTTTGGATAGAGGATGGGGACCAGCCAGAAAGGGCTTGTCCCTCCACATAAATCCTTGCATATCGATGCCAGCATAATTAAGTAAGCTCTCATATGCAACAAGTAAACTTCTTCTTCTTCTTCTAAAGGCTTAAAACCAGCTACCCGATTTCATATACTTCGGATCGATCTTTAAGAGCTGATTGCAGATATAGCTGCTTATATTCCGAACATGAAGCCTCTAGCTTCAATAGCGGACAATTTATATACTCTTTTCATCTCTGAACGAGTATATAAATAAACTTATTTGTCGTTTCCCGCATATAAGGTCGGCGGTGACTGTTCCCGACGATCGGAGTGGGTATATAGAGGGCGTGATGAGGCAGCTTAATGTTAGTCCGCTTCCAACATGAGGGCAGTTGTTACGTTCTTGACCATCGTGGGCTGCGTGCAGGTCACATTAAACGAAGATGTTTTCGAGGTGGAGTGGAATAACTTTAAAGTCGATTACAAAAAAATTTATCAGCATATCAGCGAGGACCAATTGCGCAAGCAGATCTTTAAGCACAACAAGGAGATTATTGACAGGCACAATGAACGATATGCGGCAGGCGAGGAGACGTTTGAGATGGGCGTCAATCAATTCACCGATCTTCTGTCCCACGAATTCGAAACATTAATCCTAGGCGGACTTAACGCAACTGTCGATGAAACCGAAATAGATCTAATATACTCACCAACTGGCAATGTCGAAATTCCGTCTACGGTTGATTGGCGTGAGAAAGGCGCTGTTACCAGAGTAAAGGACCAGGGATACTGTGGCTCCTGCTGGGCCTTTGCCGCAGTTGGCACGCTGGAGGGGCAGCACTATCGCAAAACTGGAGAGTTAGTCGAACTCTCTGAAAAGAATCTGCTGGATTGTACGAGTGGCGAACCCTATTACAACCACGGCTGCCATGGTGGACGGACCACAACCGCGCTGTACTATGTCGAAAGGAATCATGGCATAGATACGGCTAGCTCGTATCCCTATAAGGATAAGAAGGGCCATTGTCGATTTGATAGGCGTTATATAGGCGCAACAGTCAGCAGCATTGTACGAATAAGACCGCATTGTGAAAGTGCTCTGGCAGAAGCCGTCGCCACAGAGGGACCCATTGCGGTGTCCATCGAGGCAACACATCTACATCATTACAGAGGAGGAGTATTACGCAAATCCTGCCACAAAAGATCCAATCATGCAGTCGTGGTTGTCGGCTACGGCCACGACACCCACGGCGGGGATTACTGGTTGGTCAAGAACTCCTGGGGTAATCTATATGGTGAAGACGGATATGTTCGCATGGCGCGTAATCAGAACAACATGTGCTTCATTGCCAGCAATGCCGTTTATCCATTGGCTTGACCTGTAAGGAAAGGCGTATATAAAAATTACAATTTTCTTAATATATATAACTATGTAACAATAGCTGGGTTACGAGTTTCATATTCAGGATGGGGCACTGAGTAACAATAAAAATAAGTATTTATCAATGGAGTTGGATTTCTTGCCTTTGTTATTTAAATAGCTTTAACCACATTCTTATATATTTATCCTAAATTTAAAATGATCCATAATTGTTAAACCTCCATTTATCAGGAAAAGTTGGCTTTGAAATTTAAAAATAAAAATACTTTTTTTTGTAGGTGTATCGTAATAACAAACTCACTTATTGATTAATTTATTTGCATACGTTTATTGATCAATTTGCCGTTAGATACGCGCAACATCATTACATAGACTTTCACAAACGTTTTTAGATATAGAGATATAGTCAGCATTAATAAACATCACCATAGTTTGAAATACATTTGATATAACAAGTTAATAGAAGGACAAATACAATTCAAATGTTTCGTTATTTCAATACTATGTTTTCTTTTTATCGCACTTCAATTGTTTGCAACAATCTTAGAGCCGTGTATAAATATGTATATATATGTATGTAGGTAGTTGATAGTTGTAGTAAATAGTTGTATAAATATTATAAACATTATCATTTTGATTAAAATGTGTGTATATATATTAAGCAACCTTGCGATGCAAGCATCGTCAGTCGTTTATTTCATTTTCCACAGCGCATCCAGTTCGTTTAATGGATCCTTGGTCTCCTGTTGCTCCTTGGCTGTTACCTGGGGTGCCATTTTCATTTGATATGATGTCATAATCCCACCTAGAAAGTAAGTTTAATTATATATTTTGCATATGCCAAAGTCAAATGGTGTATTCTTACGTTTGTTGAGCACATTATGAGCATTGCTCAAGACGATTTGCATGGACTGCTCCAGGATGGCTGCGTCACGGAGCGAATTTTGACGCTGCATGCAAATACGTGACCACACATCGACCACATCTGATCAAAATTGTAATATTTAGTGCAAATCAATAAACGTGCAATCGCTTTTATGCTCACTTATTAAAATGGGCCGCTTGTTTTGCGTGCCCATCAATGCACATATTGCAATAGCCACCAGCTCGGAGCGCTCGGAGCCCGTCAAACAGTTCAAAATGAGCGGCGATGTGGGTGTATTGGCCGCTAGACAACGCTGCTGATGCGTCTGCAGCGCATTCTGCGCTATGCCCAACAATTGAGTGGGTGAACTACAAGCAAAGGTAGGAATATTATTTACATGACAAAAGGCATCACATATTTGATTTAGTTACGCTTTGGTCCATTGCTTGAGCTGCAGCAGCGACAAGTCCAGAATAGCATCGGCGCCATGCATCGATAGCTTCAGTTGGTACTCCGTGCAGTGGCTGAGCTGCTGCAGCTTTACACAGTTCACAGTATAGTCGTCGTAGTGTGTGGGCTGGTTGAGCAACTGCGGCCAATAGGGATCAAAGAGCTGTAAAAAAAGAAATGTGTCTGGTTAAATTGGAAAACAGCACTGAGTTAAATGTTTCACTTACCTCATTGGTGGTGTGCAGGCAAACCACAGTGCGAGACTTTTCTGACCAAATCATAGACCAGAAATCGTTGATGGTGTTCGCTTGCGGAGTTTGTGATACGATAATGTTTGGACAACCAGCGCTGAGGCACTATCGCGTGGAGAAGAGAATTAAAAGTTTGGAAAAGTACAAAAAAAAAGCTCAGTCAGTTAAGCTTTATACTCACCTTCATGTAAGCCGCATTGATGTAGTCATCCGTCTGCTTGTCCAGCTTGACGCGCGCATGATCGTAGGGCAGACAGTCCAGTGAGCGATTCTTCTCGGGAAACAGCTTTGCTATGGTCGTCGTGCGGTTCACGCTGCTGTCCTTATCCAGCTTCTGCTGCAACTCCAACCATTTGCTGCCCAGCTGGGTATTGCCATTTAACATTTTGACATGTAAATTCTCAACGAGCTTCTCGTAGCTCTCCACCTCCTTGTGGAAGTATTTGAGCGTCTTATCATCGCCGAACGGATCGTGAGCGCGCATTTGGAATGTAATTAGAGGATGTCCATTTGTTGCCTGTTGCTTTTCGCTGGCGGAATGTGTCAATGAAACCGAATCCCAGTCAAAGTTCTCCAGGGAGCTCAAGTCTGAGCAGTTGGAAAGATTGTCAATACTATTTTTTCGCAGCGCTGCAGCCGCTGACACTGAAGGCGAGGCCATCGGCGAGATTGCAGCAGCTGTGGGTGTGCCGGCAATGGCATCCACTGCACAATCGCTAGCAGCCACGGACGGCGGCGGCGTTGGTGTTGCCACAATCTGTGGCTGCAGCAACGGCGGCGGCACCGCGCCTGCACAGTCCAAGTCCAAATCGCTAAGCAAGTCCACATTGCTGACATCGGACGTTGTCGGCTTGGTTTCGCTCTGCAGCGCCGATGAGGCGTAGGGTGCGCTGCTTGTGGTCGTCTGGGTGTTGGCAATGCTGCTGCCGCCGCTCTGCATATAAATTGAGGACTTCGGATTGATGGGTGCGGCGGCAGCTGTCGTTGCAGGCTGCTGCTCCGCCTGCAGCTGCGGCTGTGGCTGCTGTTGCTGTGTGAGCGTTCCGCCAGAAGAATGATAGCCATATGGTGGTGTATAATAGTTACCCGTCACCTCGGCCGGTTGACTCGGAGCACTGGAGTCGGCGGCGCCACTTGCTGCCTTTGTATGCGAAACTATGGGCGACTATATAAAGGCACAACAATTAGCAAGTGATTAAGTTAATCTGGTGCTTACTTACATCAAAGCCCGTGGCCAAACTGCTGCGATTGGCTTGCTCCGAGTCTGTGGTGCCCACAACGGCCGCCTGCTGCTGTCCGCTTTGCGTGAATTGGCCAAATTGGCCATGCGAAACCTTTGGAATATTATTGCTCTCATGCTGATAGCCACTGCTGTACTCATAGATGCCCGTTTGTGGATTAAAGCTATAGCCAGGATGATTCGAGTAGCTCAAGAAATTGCTATCAACACTGGGAACTGGCACTGAGGCGGCGGTGGCCACTGGATATTGCATGGCTGCTGGCGTTGATGGCACAGGTGCAGATTGCGGCACCACCTGTGAAGGATACAAGGCTGGCTGCGCTGGCATCTGAGGCTGGCCAAAACTTGAAGGCTGACCATAGGCTGTGGACTGCGGCGCAGCAGAATAGGCCGCAGTTGGCGGCTGCTGCGGAGTTTGGGCTTGAGCATAACTGGCTGGTTGTTGGGGCGTCTGCGCCTGTGGATAACTGGCTGCTTGTTGGGGCGTCGGAGCCTGGGAATAATTGGCTGGCTGTTGAGGTGTCTGCGATTGCGGATAACTGCCGGCTGGTTGGGGCGTCTGAGATTGGACTGGCTGCTGAGGCACTGTCTGTGCCTGCTGAGCGTATGCGGCAGCAGCTGGCTGCGGATACATAGAAATCTGTTGTTGCTGCGTAAAATTGGATGCCTGCTGGGTCGCAGCCACAGCTGGCGGATAGGCCTGCGCAGCATTGGATTGTTGATGGGCCAGGGGCTGCTGTGTCGTCTGCGGCTGGGCATATCCCAACTGCTGTGGCTGTGAATAGCTCAAAGGCTCGCTGGGCTGTGCGGATGTGGCCACATAGAGCGGTTGCTGGTAGTTGTAGTTCTGTTGAGCAGGTGAGGCTGCAGGCGCTGGATACGCCAGGGGATAATTGTAGCCATAGCCCAATTGTGGCTGCTGGCCATAAGCTGCGACTGGCTCCGCCGGGGGCAACTGCTGCTGCTGCTGTTGCATGCTGAGCTGTGCCATGGCGCCGTGCAGCGTTTGTGAGTTGGGCGAGGCTTGCGCCTTGTAGGCGGGCGGCGCAATGTGCTGCTGCTGTTGCTGGTACATAGGATTGGTATAGCCCGCGGCATTGGGGTCGTAGTATTGCTGATGCTGCAGGCTGTAGGGCGGCGGCGGCTCATTGGGCGGCGGTGCGCTGGCGTAGACAGAGCAGGCGGCCTGCGTGGGATTCTCAGAGCCCACCGGGACCGGGCGCACAGTGGGCAGATAAGTTGCGGCATCCAGTGTGGCTGCCGCAATGCCATTTTGTTTGGCCTTCAGATAATCACGTAGTTTGGGCGCGCCGCTGGTTACAGTCGAAGCAATTTCTGGCTTGCTGACAGCGGGCATAGCAGCAGCAGATGGCGCCGCTTTGACGCTCTGCAGACGCTGCTGTCGCTCCTCGGATTGGACATCGCGTGCGGACTTGAAGCGTGTCAAGAGTTTTTGCACATTGCCCGCTAGCTTCTTGTAGAACTCCAGACCCTTGGCCGACTTGGCCAGCAGATCCTCATACACATCATAGGAGGCAGCCAGTGAGCTGTAGAAATGCTCGCGCTTCTGTTTCACATCCTGCAGCGTTTTCAGCACGGGTGCGGCACGCGCATACGCCTCGGTCAGGGCCTGCAGAATATTTTGTTGGGCCAGCATATTTTGATCGAGCAGCTGGGTGAGGCGATCGTGCTTGGCCAGCTCCGTGGCGAAGAGCACCTGCAGGCCCTCCTGGCCGCCATGGGCAATCACCTTAGTCGTGATGTCATCCTCATTGATGGCAATGCGCAGATCCGCATGGAATTGTGCGCGCTGCGCCTTCATCTCATTCACCTTGTTCACAATCAATTTGACATCCTTGAAGATCTCTGCGGTGTTCAGCTCCGAGCTGAGCTTGGGCATCAGCTGTTGTATTTCCTGCAGTGGACGCGCCAGTATCTTTAGATTATTCACATGCAAACTCATGGCCTTGCGCAGCGTATTGTTGGACTCGCCTGCCCTGGCGTGCGCTTCGCTGTATTTCTGGAACTCTCGCGTCAATTCCGTAATGTGGGCATTGGGTGTACGCTGCACGCCGCTGGCTGCTTGAAATTCGCGCTCCGCTTGGGCTTCCGCTTCGAGCATGTGCGTTAGCTCACTGAGATTGGTCTCCACATCGGCTGTGATTTCTGCCAGCTGGGACATGGCCTCGATCAGATCGCTGATGGCCGTTTTGTTGGCATGCAGCGCCGCACAGCGATCGACAATGCCCTGGGGCAGCTTGTTGGCCTGCTCCTCGTTTATGTTGAGATTGTCCAAGGTTAGCGAGCTCATGTAGCTATCCAGCTGTGTGTCCTTCTCCTCCAGCAATGCGCCATATTTGCGCAGCAATTTCGCCTTCTCCTCACTGTACATGGAGCTGGCCTCGTGCGCTTTCATGGGCACCAATCGAGCAAATATATCGGCGCCTGCAACCTCCTCATCCGTTACAGAAAACCCAATGCCATTTACCAAATTGGCGCCCTGCACGGCTGCAATAGTGGTCAGCTCCGGCACAGCCTCATGGTAGATGAACTCGTTTTCGTTTTTGGCATTCTTGCGCTTGCCCTCGACCACATCGGCGGTGAAGCTGAGGGATTCGTTGATTTCCTTTTGGTCCGGCAGACCCTTGGACTCTTTGCGTGCCTCCTCCAGTTTGTCCCAGGCCGCCTAAGCACGACATTATGTTAGAGATTCGTTTGCTCAAAACAGAATTGGCAGCAACTTACCTGATAGAGCGTCAGGCGTTCGCCCATTTTGCGCTGCTCCTCAGCTTGTTGGCCCTGATACAAGTACAATATGCAGTGCAGATAATTTATCTTGAATTTGACATATTTCTTCCATAGCTTGTAGACGGAGCTATCGATGACCTGAGCAACGGGTCCGTCATCGCCGCCGGTGAGCAGCGCCGCCAGAGCTGCACCATAGTAGACAACAATCTGTGCCGTCACCTTGGCCACAATGTGCGGCTTTCGGTTATCAATAAGCGACTTTTCCAGTATACATTCCTGTGCCTGGGCGAGGCACACCTGCTGCTGGAAGACCAACAGCTCGGTGGTCATAAAATCACCGCCACTGTTGACATTCGCATAGCGTTCCCGCAGCTCATTATAGGCCCACGCAGCGGCCTGAAATTGTGAGCTTTAGGATGCGCTTGTACTCTTGGAGCACATGAACCCACCTGAAAATGTGTGCAGGCCATTTTCATGCCATCGACATCGCCGCGCGTCACCGAAGCGCCCGACTGGGTGTGCGAGGCGGCAATGTTGAAGAGCACAGCGGCACGTTCGTAGCGTATGTCGCTCACCTCATGCACTGTACTGTGATAGAGATCCTTCCAGGTGAACGTGAAGATGCTACGCTCCGCCAGCTGCGGGAAGCGGTTCTGCAGCGCATGCAGCTGGCAATAGTAGCGCTTCATAATTGGAGCGCCGTCCTTGGTGGTGCGCATGGCCTGGTTACGCAGCGTTTCCAAAGCGTGCACCTCCTTGGAAAAGGCCTCCGGATCTTCGTGATAGAATTCGGCTATGTACTGCATGCGAGAAGAGTGAAAGAGAGTGTGTGAGAGAGAGAGAGAGCGAACAATGGCTCATTGTTTGTTTTGTAATTTTCAGCTACACCAATTACGATGACTCAGCCTTTGTGGAATTATTTACAAGCACCACACGGGAGAGCAGGCGGGCGGCATGTAGTCACAAAGCTTAACATTATGCGGATCAGCTTGCGACGCAGGTGCTGCCCCCGCCTGCAACCCCCTACACTTTTAATTGGTAAGTTCGTCGACCGTCGCCGTTGCGTCTTTGTCACAATTGTCTCGTCTCGTTGCAACCCACCTTTTTGAGGGCTGCGAACGATGTGCCCTCTGGGCTGGATTTGAGGGCAAACCATAGCATGTGCAGACGCGGCACGGCCTCCATTGTGTCTTTTTGTTTAGCCTGCTCAGTTTATTTGTAATTTAGAAACGTTTTTCGCAGAATGTACTTCAGAAAATTGCACTGCAAGTGCAGTGTGACCGTAGATGTAGTATGTATAAAATCCCAAAAAAGCAATATCTAAATACCAACAAAACGCGAAGGAAACTGAACTAAGCGCAACTTAGTCTTAACGAAGCTGGCGCGTCATTTCGCTTAGTGGTTCATGTCAATGATATTTTACTATGAACTTAACGAATGAACTAAAATGCAATAAAGCATGTACATATAACTTATTTATGGAATATATATAAGTACTTGTTAGGGAATTTAATTATGGAATATAAGGTCCAAACTGCTTTCCGTCTTTAAAAATTTAAAAATTTTAATTTATAAACATCATTACACTCCAAAACTTTATATAAGATAATCCTAACGAATCACAGGAACAAACTTTCGTTAAGTCTCTAAGTTGTTTTTGTCTAATATACAATAGTTCACACACTGACCGGGAGAGGGCGTTTACTTTCGACCAAAATCCGTTTAAATTGGGACAATATTTAAAATTAGTTTGCGTAATGTAATAAATAGCAATTTTTGAGCAAGCTATTGATCCATAACAATAAAAATAATATTTAAATTTAAACATTTTTCCATGTACACACAAAATGTTGCTTACTCCGTTTTTTCTCTGGCACGACCTTAATAAACGCACCTAATCCGTTTGGTAAACCGAAATAAGCAAAAATAATACGCAAAACTAAATTACGGCTGTCTGGCATAAATGAAAATTTACATTTTTCCCAGCGTCCGTTGACAACAAAAGACAACAAGAGCTGCGACAAATGGCCAACTCACCGGCTCAGCCGCGGGCGGGTGTGGGAAGATGGAGGGGCGGGGGTGCAGCATAAAGAGACCGCGAACAAAGGGGGAGTTTTGAGCTTTTCCTTTTCGTTCGCCGCATTTGCTCGAAAAAAAAAGTAAACCCTTCTAGTTAATTTAATTATTTATATGCATTTTTTGTGCAGCACTTTTGTTGTTGTTGCTCTTAAAAAATATTTTTGGCACTTCCTGTGCGAAATTCGAACCGCAAATACTAAAAAAAAAATAAGCAACAACAACAACGACAAAGAGAGCGCAAAGAGAGCGCGGCAGTTGGCCAACTATGCACTTCCTGTCATTGTATGCTGTCAGCCCCGCTCTGCGCACCGCACAGCTCCCTCTGTTGACTGCTTTGCAAAACCCCGAAACGTTGTTGTTAACATTTCCGCTTCTCGCAAAGGAGTTAGGTTGTTGTTCTTGTTGTTGTTGTTGTCCCACATAATTCGCATGGCTAACAACTGCGCAAGAAGAATTTGCTGCGAAATTATTATGAAACATTTACAATTTGCACATGGCAAGCGGTTCACATTTTCATTCTTATTTTTGAATACCCTTCTAGTGGATATTGTACATTTTTTCACAAAATGTGCAACGCGCTTGGATTAGAAAATCCGAAAACGGACATTTTGGATCGTAGATTCGTTGACTTTGATGCTTTGGACTAGCGGCTGCATCTTAACGAAAGAGCGAGGGAGCAAGCATTGTGGTTGGTGACTTAATTATCTAAGCACAATATCGTAATGCTTTTGATCCCGTTACCTGGCTGAGCGCAAAAGTGAGCAGATTTTAGTTTAAAAAACCAATTTAATAGTGTTATATAATTGTTATTGTGTTAAACGCGTTTAGTTCATGTCAATTGTCATCATAATAGTGCCCCACTTGTACTCCGCGCTTTGTTGTTTAATAAATGTGTTAAAATGTGCACTCGCTTCATTTTTGGCGCAAAGCTTTTTCTTTTTGGCGCACTTTGGATATACACATGTATGTAATTTACATGCAGCGAGAGAGAAAGAGAGCAGTAGAGAAAAAGTGAGCACCAAAAAGTTGCGGTATTTATCTTCTTTATTATCGCACTTGCAGGGGGTATTTTAATTAGTAATGTAATGTAAATGCATATGTATGTATATATATATATGTATGTATGTACATTCGAGTTGAAATATGAAGAGAAAATGTATTTCTTATTTTTTTAATGCTTTTTCTACAATAAAGTTTGTAACTAAAGCAATTATATAAGCGCCATTGTGCGCTTTATGCCGACAAGGGTATTAAAACATCGGTGTGCCACAGTTAACAGCTCTTCTTCTTTGTTGATTGTTATTGTTTTCGTTTTTCGTATGCACTTAAAAGTCAAACTAAAGTTTTTGCATTGTTGCGCTTGCCTGTGTGTGCGTGGCTGCCAAAAAGTCTGTCAAAATGTTTATTGCGTTGTCATGCGGCAAATGGCAATTATGTGCCTACTTGAGTGATTGTGTGGGTGTGTGTGTGTTGGTGAACGTATGTATGTGTGTGTGTGTACGTGCGCCCACTTGGTTCGCAACTCATAACGTCCTTTTCTTCTTAAGAGCGTATCGCTTTGCCATGCGATTCTCAGGATCTCATTTAATCGATCCAATTGATATTCCTTGTAACTGATAATATTTTTAGTAACATATATATGTGTTAAATATATTTAAATTGTATGAAACTGCTTCTTATAGTTCATACGCAATTGCCTGACTCTTTTTTTCTTAACAGAGTTCGCAAATAACAGTCAACACTTTCGGGTTGTCTGTAAAATAACAGTTTTTTCTGGTCCGACTCTCTCTCGCTTTCTCTCTCTCACTCTCTATCCCCAAGTACATTTCCTTTTTACACTTCTAGAAGATCTATGAGCATTAGTTTCACCTTTTGTGCTTTTGTAATCTCTTTTTATTTAATGTAAACGAATTTAGCTGTGATTCAGATAAAGACTCTGCTATAATGAATAGTTCTGTTAAAAGACCCTTTTTATGAGTATGTTTAGATATTGGCTTATTGATTCAGAGGTTATGTTTAATGCTTGAATTGCAGTTATTATGTTACTTTAAGCAATCAAATAAACAGCTTGTGAGCGCATCATTGATTAGGTGAGTAATCTGGCATCGCAGAATGCTAAAATACCACTCATAAATCCGAAAGTAAAACTCATTAAACTTATCACTTAATGCTGAATACAAAATGGCATTGCCATAAAAAATACAACAATAAACATTACTCATAAGCCCCGAGACTGGACAATGCATTGCATGATGTGTGTGGGCAATTAAAAAAAGGAACCGAAAGAAACCACAAAATGGCCGTTAAATTTGAAATGGGCTCAGGCTCACATGTGTGTGTGCGTGTGTGTGTGTGGGCTGTTGGCAAAGCCAAGACCCACAAAGATAAACAGCGACTAAACAGGGACTAAAAACAAAGCCAAACAAACCGACGAAACGCAGAAAGGGGCGGGGACGAGCACAAACTTGGGCCTGGTACATAAAATCTACGCGCGGCCTCAAATTAATACGAATTTATGACAATTTCAAATGCATTTTCAACGTTCGCTTCCCACTGCCGTGGCTATAAAAATGTTTATGCCAAAAACCAAAAAAAAACACGCGCGAATTTTTCTTTAGCAAAAACATTTTTATGTGCTGCCTGCCACGCCTCTAAAATATATGTTTAAATATATACACACATACATATATATGGATATATGTATATGGCATGTGTTTGATTCTGAGTTGCGTCTTGTTGTTTGACCATTTTTATGACCCGCACGAATCTGCCAGGCAACCGCCCATTTTGTAGGCTTTGTCTTACGAGCTTTTCACAGTTTCCCCCCAGTTTCCTTTAGTTTCCCGCACTCACTTATTCTTACAATTTTATGGCTACTGACAATGCCATTTCCATTTCCATTTGCCGGGCACGTTCCATGCTGCTCGTCAGACTTTATGCACTTTATGCACAATAATAAATAAATTCGCATTAAATTTTTCGTACTCTTTTTAGTGTACCGCCCCCCCATGCCCCCACCCACCAGGCCAGCAACAAACATTTGCGTAGCTCATAAATACTTTTAATGATCTGAACGTTTTGATTTTGCGTTTTTATTAATTTATCACAGCTTGTCAGCAAGGCGCGGGGTTCGGCAAAGGCCGAAGGGGGTTGGGGTGGGGCAGATATATGGTTGGCTAATTTGTTGGCCATTTATTTAAACAGCATACTATAATGTTAATTGTCGTGCAATTGTGTGTGCCATAACATTTTCAAGAGGTTCATAAATTAAGAAAGGATTGCGTCCAGTTCAATAAATTAGAATGCTAAGTATGCCTTTAAGAAGGCCGTAAAATGACAATGTCCTGCCATTGATGGTCCTTCAGCCATCAAATTGAAGCACTTTGTAATTGTTTAACACTTGTCGAATAATGACAAAACAGTCTGATCGCCCAAAAGAATCTGCGAGTAATCATGCAGCTTTAAACTTAGATATTTATTAAGGCCCATTCAAATTAAGTATTTCCAGCTTTCTGTACTTACAGTATTTCACGCAGTATGTACTGCTTTTCTGCATATTTTGAAAAAAGTTCAATTTGAAACTTAAATGAATTCATTTAAAATAGTTTAAATGACTTAAGCAGAAGCTGAAAAAGATGTAAATGGAATGGGCAATTGACAGGCGTCCAAAACATTTGCGATACTTTTTTACTTTTTACTTAATACGCGACGGAAATTTCTTCATGCTTTCCAACTTGGCAATTGACAGCATTTTAATAGAAGCGAACATCGTGATTTTCAACAAAATATAAAAATTAAAGTTTAAAAAAAATCAAGTAAGAATAAGAGGAGGAAGAGGAGGACATACCCTGCAATCAGTTTCAAATAGCCATACTATACATTAGATCCTTATTTTATATATATTCTTTAATAACTTTTGTCTAATATGTAGAGCTGCTTATCGATAAGTATCGTATACGAGGCTCGATAAAATGATAAAATCTTGATTTGATGTCTTCAGCTCCAAAAGTTTCTAAGATTCTCGGGCAGACTTACACATATTCGGACAAGTCGGATATGCCCGCCATTAATAGCTGCGACATAGCCTTTTTCTTAAAACCCGTTTCCAATGCGCACGAGGTATTAAAAAATAAAAAGCAAAGAAAACTCATCCAGGCTTGTCAGTCAAAAGCAGTAAAAACATTT